CCACATTGAAAAAACATAACTTTTTCCTTGTAAACATAGAGTATATATATTAAAGGGCATCAAATCCAATATTAAAAAGATATTATATTATCCTTTTAAGTTGAAATATTTAAACCAAAGGGTTTTTTTTATCTCACATTGAAAAAATATAATTTTTTTTCTTGTGAACATATAGTTTATATATAAAATGGCATCAAATCTCACATTAAAAAATAACTTTTTTTTAGAAACATAGTAGTATATATACTAATGGGTTTCAAACCCTACATTGAAAAAACATAATTTTTTTCTTGAAAACATAAAGTATATATACTAAAGGGTTTCAAATCCCACGTTAAAAAGATATTATGTTATCCTTTTAAGTTGAAGTATTTAAACCAAAAAGTTTTTTATCCCACATTGAAAAAACATAATTTTTTTCTTATGAACATAGAGTATGTATATGAAAGGGTTTCAAATCCCACATTGAAAAAATAACTTTTTTCTTGAGAACATAGAATATATGTACTAAAGGATTTCAAATCTCACATTGAAAAAATATAACTTTTTTTCTTGAAAACATAGAGTATATATATTAAAGGGTTTTAAATCCCACTTTGAAAAAATAAAATACTTTTCTAATATTAGAGGGCTTAGATTGTGTTTAGGTCAAATCTAAAAATTAAAAATTAAGTTTCAAGGGTATACAAATATGTTTTAAGAGTAAAATGTCAAGAAAGTTTATTGATGTGTAGAAATCATGTATAAATTTGTGATATGGATCATTGCAATAGCTGGTCTTTTAGCAAACCTGGACTTGTCCAGCTACCGGGTCGACCCACTAGGTCAGTCTGGGTTTAATAACCTATGATATTAAGACTGATATGAGTCATTTTTTAGAAACATAGCGCGTATCCTCTCTAATCAAGAGCATATAGCTAGTGACGTACAAGATATCAGGGATATGATGGCTAGTTTGCTCTCTTGTTATCCACTACCCTAGATGATTGTATCATTAACTTATCATGTTTTTCATGCTTTTCATTTTACTTTCTTTTTCTTTTTGTAATGAATGGTGTATTTTGAACATTATGTTATGTTTCTCTAATCTTTTTCACTTTCTGTATTTACTTTTTGCTGATGACACAGAGGAGGAACACACACACATATATAAAATTAAAGGGGAGATATATATTAATAGATTACATATTATTTTTTAAATCTTCAAGAGACTATATTGCAATATATAAAGGGAGATACATATCTTTATATCTATAAGTATAAATTAATTGTCATCATAAAAAAGAATGAGATTATTGACCTATAGGTCACATATTAATGTTTATAATATCTTGTATTTTGATGATAATAATTAAATAGAAAATAATATAATGATATGCTTGAATAAAATTAAGTTTAAACAAGTTTTATATAAAGATCACATCATCAAGCATATGAAATTGAATGAAGAAATCCATCAACAAGTCCAAGATGCAAAGCAAGTGAAGACTTAACTATTAAGGATTCATTTTAGAGCTTATTGTTAAATATTTATGTTTTACTCAATAGCAAACTAAAATGAACTCACACTTCACATTGTATGTATAAATAAAATTGATATATATTTAATCGATTCAAGTTTCACCAGGTTTGAAACTCTTAAAACTAGTTTTTAAGCTGAACCAATCGATCGTTGTTTATCTGTGATGAACACTTGCGAATTTTATAAGTCTGGTCAACCATTTCAGGTGTTAGAGGCATTTTAACAACTATTAACGACTAATTTCTTTTGGTGTGTGTGTGTGTGTGTATCATTTATGGCTTTAATCCATTAACTTCATTATATTTGTTCATTTATGTACTGATGAAAGGGTTATTTTTGATGAAAATAGAAAAACACAGATGTTGAAAATACTTCATGAGAGTGTACAATAGTATGTAGAAAAAAGAATGACCAATATGCTTACAAGGCAAATATGGGATGTAAACGAGTTGTTTTCTAAATAGGTGATTGGTTTTGGGTACGTATACCAAAGGAGAGGTTTTTGGCCTATACAAAATTAAAATTGCAACTTCAAGGAGATAATCCATTCTAAATCCTTGAAAGAATTAATGACAACGCCTACAAAGTAAATGTATCAAATGAGTATAATGTTAACACTACTTTTAATGTTTATAATCTTTCTTTGTTTGATAAAGGTGACAATTCAAAATCAAATTCTTTTAAGGAAAAAAAAAGATATGATATGTATCATCTCACCATGACAAAGGATCCACTAAAAGTGTCAATTAGGTTAATCACAATGTCAAAGATCAAAAGTTAAATAAGATATTAAATGGGTTTGTTCAGAGCATTTAGGTCAAGGTTGACTTCAAGAAGACTTAAACACATACGAAGCAACCTATAATCAACTTAATCTATACACAAGAATGGCTCAACTCAACTCCAGCTTTGGCTTAAGGCTAGCAACATAACTAAGCAGCCTTGTTTGAACAACTTTTTATTCTCTAGAAAGAAAGATAGGTGGCAGCAATTAATCCAAACATTACAATGATGTTTTTGCAAAATCTTTTAGGAGTTTCGGTCTTCTACAAGGAAACTAAAAGGCAGCAACTATTACAAATATTTCTATATTTATTTAGGAGAGTTAAATTCGGTAGCAACAATCCTTATTATTCAAGAATATTTAAGTCAGTTTTGAGCTGATTTTTTTCTAATGTGTAATTTTACATTAAACATAGTTTTAAATTTGACCATTGAATCAGGCTAGAATTTTACTAGAAGATTCCAAGAGCCTAGTTTTATATACTTGTAAGACATCAGGAAAGCCTTATGATAAGGTCCATAAAATACTATGCAGGATTCATATTAGTTTTCTAGTTAATTTAGGATTATTTTTTTATGTTATTTAAAAATCTTTTATTATTTTTTTCAGCATTGTTTAGGATATTTTTTACCTATTATAAATAATATTATTAAGCTTATATTTAGGTTTTCTTTATTGACTTTGATTTCATAATAATATTTGTGCGTGAGAGGAAAATTCTTACTTTTTTGTTTTTGAAAAAACTAAAATTGACTTTTTAAAGAATAATTGTCTTCTCGATATCTTCCTTTTACTTTTCATTTGCAATTCACTAATCATTTAGTGAAGATTTGAATTTCAATTATGTTGATGTCTTGATTTAAAATAATTATTGTATCATGCTTTCTATCTCAAATATAATGTTTGTATCATGCTTTCTATCTCAAATATGATTTTTGGCTTTTGAGGATTATATTTAAGCTTGCTTGCTTGTAGATTTATGGGTTTTCATATGTAAAGGTTCATATCACAATTTAGAGCATAGTTCTCTAACCTAACTTCATGGCATTCATCATCCAATGATATCAAATGTCTTCTCTATTTCATGAGATAAATGATAGTATCAAAATCCCAAGTGGCAAGATAACAATGATGATGAAATTGGAAAGGCAAATATATCCCGAACTTTTTTAGAGCTGAAGAAGTTGTTCCAGCATTTTAGTGTGGCTGCTGGTCAGAAGAAAATGTCAATGTATGAGAATTAAGGGGGTGGGGGGCAAAGAAACGAAACAGAAACAGAAAATGGGCAAGGCAGAAGAGCTCAGTCACATAGTTTTATTCCCTTGCTCCTCATATGTAATAGAATCTTGATGCAAGAAGAGTATCAATGACAAGAATATCATGAATGAGATGTGACTTGAATCAAACAGAGAAGAAAAACAATACCTGAAACATTTTGATTTGCTATTTCTTGTGTGCATTGCTTCTGTTCTTCTGCAGCTAACCCTCCACCAATGGCTCCAAAAGCAACTCCACCTGCCTAAATTTAGTAGTTAATGCAGGGTCTGAATTCTTCTTCTTTCCATTTTTACGAACGAGAGAATATGTTAAACCTGTAATTCTATGATGATAACTTCATTACCTCACATAGTTTCTTTCAAGAGCGTATGACACAAATCAATCAAAAAGAGTGAGCTGGAGAAATGGATGACTGGATGATCTTCTTGAAACCTCACATCATTTGAGCAGAAAATCAAGTGGTGAAATGCTTTGCATGTTAATGTACAGCTATAGTATAAAATTAAACAGTATCCACCTGAAACTATCCCAAAAGCTCATCATAACAAGCATATTGATATTATTAATAAAGCATCGTATTTCCTTCGAGATAAAGAACTCCACCTGCCAAAGTTATCGTAATCCAGCAAAGGAAAGATCTACTAGTGGCATCACCTTCTGAAAGGCATTGAATGGAGTTCCTTGCTACAGCTGCAAGTCCATTATCATGCAATCCAAGCATTGTATGGAGTCTTCCAATAGAGTACATTGTTTTTGATGAAATAACTTCCAGGCTGCAGAGAGAGAACTTGTCACATTGACCAGTCAGCTAAATGAAAACACAGACTTTTTATTAGACTGTCAGTTTTTCCATTTATACTGAGTTAAAAAGGACACTACTACTGTTTCCACACTTCTAACAATCAAAGCCACAAACACATTACAAGTGCACTTCTAATATTTCCACACTTCTAACAAACACATTGTATGCACGTCACTTGATTTCTAACTTCACCACCCAAATGCCAAAACTCCACTCTGAAATATCCCTACTCCATGTTTTCTCCCTCCTCTCTCGCTTCTTTGCTGCCATCTTCTTCCTTCGACAACTGGGCAACTTCTGTTTTCAAAGCTTTTCCTTCACAGAACAGTGACATTTGTTGGGGGAGGAAAAAAATAACGATGCAGTACAGTACAGACTTCAAGTTCGGTTTGGTCCCTGAACCTAGCTAATTGTTGCATGACATGTGTTTAATGTAGAAATTGGAAAAGACAAGAAATTGAAATTAAAAATTTTATCTAATCACTACGACATTGAACTACTACCTGTTTAATTAGAATCCTTGGAGACGATCTATAATAAACTTTGAATAGCAAGAGCTACATCCTTGAAATCCTTCTTCGGACCGTCACATTATCTGAGCATTAAGAAAAAGCTTTACCAGAGCATTTATTCTTTATAGCAATGACTAACTGATTCGATCATGATAATACAAATTCCGTATCTCACAAATTACTAACCACTAACACTAATTTCTTAACATTATGCAGATGCGTGCCTTGAGATTACTCTATTTTTTTAATAATCAAAACAGCCATATCTGATTACCTATTATTGACTAAATTCAAACTGTACATCATCAAAATTTCAATTTGCGTACACAAGCTTTTCCTTTCTCCAAATACAACTACAATAATTCTAGTTAATCACAAATAATCTCTGGCTGCTTTTCAGTGCAGCATGCAAAGGGGGGCGGATCTGGTGGTTATGATTGAGCAGTCCTTTGAGCATGGAGGCTTAAAGACAAGGAGTCGATGGGTTATGGAATGGTAAGGGTTTGCCACAACATTGCTGATCTTTACAGGGAAACTTGTCTGGAAATGACGACATCAGAATCCTATCCTTCAATCATCATAATCATTGTCATCTTGATTGTTTTGATGATTATGCTTTTGGGCATTATACATCTCAGCAACCTGAAATGTGCAGAGCAACGCATGAATTGAAGTTCTAGCCAACAAATCCTTTTTTTTTTCTTTTCCCATAAAACAATCAGCAACTAAGACTGTTCATTACCTGCTCTGATGATGAGGCTTGCTCTGGAGACTTGTCGTCTCGAACTCGAACAAGACGGGGAAATCTTAGTGAAATACCCTTGAACAAGAAAGACAAGAAATAAGATAAGAAGCACAAAACATTTTTGTGGTTTGGTTCGACAACAAGGAACTGCTAAAGGAAGGAGGATAAAAAAGCTTGGATCCAAACCATCAAAAGGGCACACAAATTAGTGAGCACAGCCCATACAAGTACAACAATCTTAACCTTTCCTCCTGGCAAGGTAATCATCAAGTGCCTGAATCCCGTTTTGCAAAACAGGAAATTTAAAAAATGGTGCCCACAATATGGCAATCACATGAACAGCAGGTATCTGAATACACATGCATGGAAATACATGTCTAAATGTTCAGGCCATTAATGTGGAAATTTTTTAGTTAATTCATTATGCGCCTCATATATGTCTGAAGTAGGCAGCCCTACCAACATAGAGCGAATTTGGTTTAAATAATGCATTATGGAAACAAGATGAATTCAACCTTGTCAGGATCAACTTCACCAATTGCAGCACGATGAACAGGGCTAATAGTCAAGTCTGCTGCTTTCACCTCCCACACCTTTTTTTTCCAAAAATAAAAATCAGCAAGGAAACAGAGCTTCTGCTCAGCATAGTATAAAACCAACATTAACATTTTTCATGAGAAAAGGTAGATCAAAATACCTCCTTGGGTTCAAACCACACATCTGGTTTAATAGTATCTCCAAATCTATAGTATGACTGGAACCAACTATAAAGTTAGAACTGGCATGGTAAAAACACAGGACTCCACTGGTCACATCAAAAAGCATAAGAACTGTACCTTTGGTTTGGGAATCACTTGTGTACGGAGACTAGCAGAACGTTCCTCAAGCACTTGTTCAGAAAATCCAGTGCCTGCCCATCACAGCAAGAAAAAGAAAAGAATGGCAACAACAAAAAAAAAAAAAAAAAAAAAAAACTTTAATTGGACATGAAACAAATCCAGAAAATCATTTTTGAGTTACCTATTTTACATATGCTCTGGAATTCTTCGTTGTTGATATTATAACAAGCAAGGAGAAAAGCACCATAGACACCTAAAAACCAAACAATAGCATCATGAACCAAAAAGGCCGTGACCAGAAACTAAAATACCTCCCACTAAACATCCCCAACCCCACCAGAAAAAATATAAAATCAAAGCTGTATCTGGCCTGCATATGCATTGAAACAGAAGTATATGCTTCAACAGAAACAGCATTTACCTGTACGTTTTCCACGACCATGGAAAGCACCAATAGGCACTAGATCTAGTGAGTCTCCAATACTGCAGAGCACAGCACATTCACAAAATTTAGCCGAAACAAAAACTGTGCAATGAGGATGAAAACACCCTAATTCATTCATCCTACCTTTCCATGTAATCTTTCTTCAATTTCAGCCAGTTATGTGATCGCCTTGAAGGTTCATATGTAGCATCCTTATTCATTGTTTTGATGATTAAACCCTCACAACTGCAAACTAAGTCGAGTCAATAACCCCAAAAATAAATAAAAGCTTAGCATGTCATTGTAATTGTATGTGCATGAAAAAGGAAGTAAGAACTTTCAAAAAACTTCCGTGACATTCAACATTTACTTTACAACATCCAAAAGACATTAATTTGAAAATAAATCAAGTTCCAAGTTTCCAGGCATCAGCATTGTTATATGCTACACGGCCTCACTTCATTCAAAAACAAAAATGATATAAAACATGTGAGGCCAGCATTCAAATAACACAAGTAAGTCCAGAGTTCAGAAACATTCCTGTGCCCAAGTTTTGCAGCCTTCAGTAATAAGCTTCAAGATTTCTTGGAATACTAAAATGAGTTCAGGTATAAAAATGTATGGAGACAAATTAGAGATATTTTGTCAAGAAAGCTTTAAATTTGAAGGATTAAAAGTAAATCAGAAATCGAACCACGTTTTTTCATTTCCATAAAATGAACTAATTTTTTCCAATAACATTAAAAAAGATTAAAAAGCCACACAAACTCAGCAATCTCTGTCAAGAGCAAAGAATCACTTTCAAAGTAACCTTGCAGTTAATGAGATGTGTCAGAACTTCCAACTCAAAAACTTACGATAAAAGATAGAGAACCCTTGCAGCAATACCAAGTTTTCATATTTGATAACCACAGCTAAAAACACATACATGTATAAATCAGGTTCATGTTCAGTTGTCAACTGAAAATGGTAAAATAAACAAGATAATGACCTGGCATCAACAGCAGCATCGAGGAATTTTTGTATCTCTTCAAGATCATTTGATGTTATTGCAGTTGCAAACTGAAAAAATCCAGGTTCTTCCTCGAATGAACTGTAAAGATGCTATACAGGTCCAAAGTCATGGGACCATCAGTATCAATACATCAGTATTTTCTGACTTGAGCAGATGAATACATCCAAGCCAAATGAGAAAAATATAGGTGGAAGTTCATTGGCAGCACATTCTTTACTTCATAGAATGTTTATGGACAAAGGGATGCAGACTATGAATACATAGAGAAACCCTGTAGTAGAATGCCATGCATGCTTTAATAAATTTAATAAATTCTCTCAAAACCAATCATCAATATGATTAATTATATAGGAAAATGATTACAAGGGCAGCTAATTTACAGGTTAATTATATAACCCAAGATACCAGACTTTTAAGAAATGATAAGGAGCCTTGAAGCATGCTTCATATTGCGTATCAATTCCTATATTAAAACAGATATTTATGCAGCATGTCAGCAATAATTTATTTCACATAGAAAGACTATTGCACTGTCTATGTGTATGATAGGCCAAGAATTCAAGTCCAAAAAAAATGGAGTAAAATGAATGGAGTGTAGTAGAACAAAGGAATTTTTTATCAAAATTAGAAGTGGAACAAAGAAAATCAACAACTCATTCCTCACAGCCTCCTAAAATTATTTGTTAATTGATTCCAGATTAATTTTAATGGAGTGGGTTTTTAATCATAAAAATTGCCCCAATCCATCTATGTTGCATACAAAATCAAATAGCATAAAAGAAGGGTGGTTCTTTCCTTAGAGCTAATCAGTATTCTTAGAATAGCCCTAACAGAAATAAAACAATAATATTTATGACAAATTACAAAAACAATTTTATTGTGAAATGCGCCAGCCCTACAGGCTTTTGAAAGGCTCTTTGTCCATTAATTGCAGTTAGAATATGCATAATACCTTCACATTGTCACCCTGATGACATTAGTAAGGGTTACCACAACTAAAAATCATTATTTGAGAGAAACAGAGAGGAGGGCGAGCTCCAAGTATTGCACCACCAAAAGCAATACAGAAAATATTTAGAGTTGATACTGGCACTTTAAAAGGATTGACAATATATACCTAACTTAAATGTCAACATGTATGACAAAAATACACACTAAATGGACTTTGCAATCCTACCTTACTACATATTTCAGATACATTTCAACACAGAATATTTGTTTTAGTTTTATGTGAAAGCAATACTATTAAAAGTTCTCACTTAGAAACCCTAGCCTCTGATAAATTTTATTACCAAATAGTAGAAAGACTGCAACAAATACATGAACTAAATGACCAGTAATGAAAATCTTGTACCTCTCTACGAACTTTCAGTTCTTTCTGAATAAGTGGTTGGTCATTAAGATACAACATGTCGAAGGCATATATGCAAACATTAACCTTGATATCACTCATCACCACATTTTTGCGGGCCCGGGTACTGAGGATCTGCACATATACGTACCAATTAAAGCTTTATCCATTTAACTCAAAAGAGCATGAATCCAAATACTTCGTGGCCATCTAGATTTATTTTATGCAACATTCAGAGAAAAAGGTACAACCAAACAAACAAGTCAACCAGCTTAGGGATTTGACTTTTCACTTAAAGTAGGAATTGGCATAGTGACCTACTCCTCCCTTCTTTAATATTAGTCCTGTCACTATTCTTATTGCCCAACAGCTATTTTTGACATGAATAAATGTATGTTGTATTTTACAAATCCAGTTATATTATTGAAGCAAAAAAGGAGATTCATTTTCATTGTTATTCCTTATACTATACAGGATTTACAATATCAGAACATTCAAAGAATTCAAATAACAATATTTAAGGAAAACTATGAACAACAAAAAATATATATAGTATTACTTGGAAGTGGTAGTGTTTTATACAAATAACAAAATACTTCAATTGATCATAAATTACCTGAAAGGGGAGAATTTTCTTTTTTTCTCTATCATAAGCAACTAGTTCACAATCCAGAATAAATGAGCTTGCCGAGGGCCTCTTTAATCTGCACAAAGAAAGTACGCATCAGCAACTACCAATTACAAATAATTAATTAGAAAACCACTAACTATGGTCATCAGACAGTATAGTGCCAGACAAAGAGAATAAATCTCTTGATGAAATTTAGATCATAATAAACCAGATGTAAGCATGAAGAATCTTGCTACAATATAATTATCCAGATAAGATTGCATTTAGAATTCTGAATCAGCACAAGTCAAACCCTGAACAACAATTTGAAGAACATATGATTTATTCACGATTGTATGCAAGGAAATAGCAGACTACCTTATAGAGGACATGAAAAAAGGAATAGGCATTGCAACACACTTACTAGATGTTGCTAAAAAATGAGGAAAGTAAGAAAAATACTAAAGGCTTCAAAATTGCATAACTCAATCTGTAGCCATTGCAGTAAATGAGAGAGAAGAAGCTGATTTGAGCATTCATATTAGGCACTGCTTCTCTTAACTTGAGTACAAAGCAGCAAAACTCACTCATTTAAATTTATAGAATCTTTCCAATGTCAAAAGTCCTCAGAGTTTCAAACAAATAACCACCTATATCATTGAAGAAAAGGAATCTCTGATGAGAAATGAAACTCACCGGGAAATCACAGCAACAACATCAGGAAATTTTCCAGTATTTCGCTCAGAATTTCGACTATATATCTCAACCGAACCATTCTCCAGGTAATGTATCTGCATCACGCAATTGACATTATATCATAAAACAAAGACGCTTAAAGCAACAAAAGAAAAGCAGTATGACTAATTAGTATCACCTGGGCACGTTCTCCATCATACTTGTATTCACAGGTGAATTCCATATCCTGAAATTTAGCTACTATCTCAGAAACCCCTTTGGTTGGTTTTGCCAGCATAGGTCCAACTGGAACACCAGGTGTGAAGCTGCATGTCTTGGGAAGATTCCACACGCCGTCACTAAGAAGAGCAGGGACTATTTTATCATAGACAGGAAGCACAGAGTATACTTGTTTAACAATCTTTGCAGCCTGTTACATACACAGTTATATAGCACCAAAGTCAAGGACAAATAAAATAAAAGATAAAGAAAAACTGTAAAGTTTCAACCATTGGTTACATATCCTAAAATGTATTCCAGCAAGTACTCCAGATACCTCTTAAAAGTCATAACTACTTAAGACAAACAATGACTGGAAACTTTTACATCTTATACACAAGATCCCAGTAGAAACAAACTGAAAACAGAATAAGAATAAATTTATTAAGAAAGATCGAAACAAATTTACAAAAGAGAAGAATAAGGCATCCTCATGAAAAGACATCTTAAAAAACAAGTTCTCACAAATCGCTGAATATCAGCAAAATAACTCCTCCAAGAAATCAAAGCCTGTATTGTATAATAGTGTTAAATAATCAAAAAGTTACAATCTCAGCATCAGGAACAAAGCAATAGGAGCCAATGCAGCAGCAATCCACAAGCATTTAACATGTGATGAATAAGAATTGACCAGTGTGGAATGGTTAGTTCATTCAGTTAGAGGTAGTTAGAGACAGTTAGGGAAGTTAGTTAGTGCCAATAATAAGCAGAGCAATGGTTAGTTTCAAGGTATAGATACATGGTGTAGAAAACATGTAAACCAAGTCATTGAATAAGAATCTTTTTCTGTAATTGCAGAACTTCTTCATCCCTCTATTTTTCTATTTATTAATCTCTTTTCCTACTATCAACCTCCATTGTCAAGGACCTTCCTTGACAATTTGGTGTCAAAGTTCTAGAAGATCCACACAAATACTTCTAACTCACCATGGTAGACAATAATAGATAAAAGCTCTTGAAGAGCACAATAAACGCACCAATGAAGAAATACAGGGGATCAGAATAGAGGTGGATGTGCAAGGAGATGAATTGTGCGAGAAGGTGGAACAATTGCAATTATAATTGGATACAGTCCCATCACCTTTGAACTCTTTCAAGGCTAATATGGATTGTGAGCATGGAAGATGGGAAGGAACCACTGTGGAAGGAAACAATTCTTTTCACCAGAATAGCAATAGGGCAGATGTTTTAAGAATCCAAGAAGGAAGCAGGACAGGGTATAATATAGATTTGCCAAAGGTAGACCTACCTAATTTATGGAGAGAACTCTTGTGGTTGGATCAAAAAATATAGGAGAATCTTTAAAATGCATTTCATACGTGTTCATTAGTGGGTAGAGATTGTTGCCTTATACATGGAAGGAAAGGCTGAGATTGGTATGAAAGGTTCTTGGTAAGAAGGAATCATTTATCCAACTGGGATGAATTCACAAAAGCAATATGTATACGATTTGGCTGTCAAAATGATGTAGTGGTAGAGTTCAACAAGCTATAACAAGAAAAAAATGTAGAAGAATATGTGGATAAGTTTGAGAAAATTAAGTCTTTAATGAGTGTACTTAATTCCTCTTTACTACTTAATTCCTCTTTACCTAAAGCTTATTATGTATCCAGTTTTATAAGTGGACTCAAGGAAGACATCAAGTCTATGTTAAAGATTCTCAAGCCAACTACATTATTGCAAACCTTTGAATAGGCTAAATGGCAAGAAGAATATAATAGAGCAATCACTAAGAAGAATAGGATGATCTCAAGAACTCCTTCAGTGATTGGCTATGGCAAATTGTCAGGTAACTCTCTTTTAATCAACAAGAGGGGAAATTATTGATTAACAATAAACTAGCATCTGACAATCATTATGAACAAAGAAGGAAACTTGGATTGTGTTTTAAGTGTGAAGAAAAGTTTACTCCTGGCCATAGATGTGTAACAAAAGACTAAACATAATAGAAGGGTTGGAGGATTGTAAAGAAGAATTCTTTGAAGTAGAAGAACAGGAAAATGAAAAAAGCAATAAGAGAAGATGGAATCGAGGAATATGGACTGTCTTTACATGCTTTAGCTGATAGATATGCTCATAATATTATCAGAATCAGGGTGGCTGTCAAGGACAGAAGCTGATGATACTACTAGATAGTGGAAGCACTCTTAGCTTCATTGATGAGCAAGTGATGCTGCAAATTAAGGTTGTGACTGTAAAAACAACAGTGTTGGCAATTACTGTTGCTAATGGAAACATTATGAAGTGTGAAGGTTACAGTCCAGGATTTCAGTGGTTCATGCAAGATTATGAGTTCCATGCAAATCTTAGAATTTTGAAATTAAGGAGGTGTGACATTGTATTGGGAATGGATTGGTTAAGAGGGTACTCACCTATTTTGTTTGATTTCATGAGAATGAAATTTTCATTCAAGAAAGATAGAAAAAGCATTGAATTGAGAGGTATAGGAAAGAAGGCTGAATTACAGGAGATTACTCTAAATAAGGTCCATAAAATACTTAAAGAGCATTCTATGGCTTTGTTGGACAGTTTTTTATTCTGAAAGCTATGGAAGTTACAAAAGAGGCAATTTGTCACCCTAAAATAAAGGCATTACTGCAGGAATTTCACACAGTGTTTGCAAAACCTACTTAATTGTCATCTATCGGGAGTCTAAATCATAAAATTCCATTAATTCCAAGAGCAGAACCAGTTAATATCAGACCATACAAGAGTTCCTTCATTCATAAGGAAGAAATTGAGAAATTAGTGAAAGATATGCTCAGGAATGGAATAATCTAGCACAGCAGTAACCTTTTTGCTTCTCCAGTCCTCTTAGTCAAGAAGAAGGATAGCACATAGATGAGTTGTTGGATGAGCTTAATGGCTCACAATTCTTCTCTAAACTGGACCTAAGGTTTGGCCATCACCAGGTTAGGATGTTTGAAGGAGATGTAGAAAAGACAGCTTTTAGGCCACACCATGGACATTATGAGTTCAAGGTCACCAGGTTAGGATGTTTGAAGGAGATGTAGAAAAGACAGCTTTTAGGGCACACCATGGACATTATGAGTTCAAGGTGATGCCCTTTGGATTGACCAATGCTCCGGCCACTAATGAACACTATACTGGAGCCATTTCTTAGAAAATTTGTATTGATTTTTTTTATGATATATTAGTGTATAGTTCTATACTAGAACTACACCTCAATCATCTTAGATTTGGTCTTGGAACAATTAAGAGTTAATCAACTCTTTGCAAAACTATCTAAGTATACCTTCTGCAGGAAGAAAGTAGAGTATTTTGGACATGTTATCTCTGGAAATGTAGTAGTCATTGATCCTAAAAAAACTGCAGCAATCCAAGAAACATTTGAAAGGTTGGTTACTACAGGAAGTTCATCAAGAATTTTGGAATTATCAGTAAACCACTAATTGAGCTGTTGAAAAAAAAATAGCTTTGGCTGGAATGAAATGGCTCAAGAAACATTTGAAAGGTTGAAGGGAGCCTTGTGCACAGCACATGTATTAGCACTGCTAGATTTTGGGAAGGTCTTTGTGCTGGAAACTAAGGCTTGCACTAATGGACTAGGAATTGTGTTGGGTCAGGAAGGAATACCTCTGGCCTTTTTCAGTAAGGCATTGGGTACAAAACACTTGGGACTATCAATTTAAAATGCTTCATCTTAATCCAGGTAATGATTATTAACATATACGTGTAATCAGTATCAAATATATGGAAATTACTAAAAGAGTTATGTTACAAGGCTATTCAGCTGGAAACAAGTTTTCATGATGCATTTGCAATTTATCAGATAAGGAAATGCTTTTATCATCTTCACAGATAACAAGATGTCGTAACTTTTATAATGCACCAAGACCTCAAAACATAAGCTCACATCATGAATGAAGAGTCTCATCTATTTGGGAGATATAACCCCACCATGTTTCTGTGTCCAGCAGTTAACTCTTTTACAGAAAATGTGATTGGTATGTGTTAATTTTAAGGTGCTTGTTTTCAGATTTTGTTAAGGCATTCTTTTTTTTTTATTTAGTCTATCTTTCTGCATGTCCTCAACTTACCTCATCTAAAGGAGACTGAATGTGTGGAGGAGGAGTAGAATGCTCTTCAGTATATACAGCAGCTTGTCCCAGAGCAGCCAAAAGAGTCTGTTCTGCCAATCCAATTCTCAACTTTGTCTGCAAAATGACTCCAAAGGAAGGTTTAAGGGTTAGACCACGAGAAACAAACATAAGAAAAAAAGATCTGAGAACATGTTCTAATCATGACCTGAAGCAGACGAATTAGATACTGAGGCTCGCAGTCTGTGGCTGCCACAAGAAGTGCCTTGATATGGTTCTTTTTCTTGTCTTGACTATCCTTCCCAGATTCCTATTAATATTTTGCAGAAAATAAGGTAAGTTGGTTAAATTAAGCTATATTGTTTAACTTACTTCCCACAGGAAAGTGGGTAAATCCTTCTCCAGCACATTATTCTCCAAATAATGTTTCTTTGTATTCTTTTCTTTGTTTGGGAAAGGATAAACTGTGCTGCCTAATGGCCTAATAGAGGAAAGAG